CTTCCTAGTTTTGCTCCTGGTTGCATAACCAGTGAGACCAGGTGAGGGTTTAACAAACCCTGATTTCTGTAAAGGCATTGAGACTTTGGCGCACCGGGATAAGTCCATCTCCAAAGGAGCAATAGGGGATTGCTGAGGAGTGGGTTGGTCTCCCTCGGAGTGGTAGCACAAAGGTGTGATGGTTTCAAGATCCTCATTGTCAAAGTCCTCAGGCTCCCAAGAAGGATCAGAAATAGAGGGTAAGAAAGAGTCATCTTGACTCCTTGAGAGGGGCTGGTTGGAAAGAGGAGGAATGTAGGGAATTATCTCTTGGCATGAGTTAGGATTATAAGGATAAAGGAAAGAGAGATCTGGGGGGAAGGGAGGGGGTGGCAATGGGGGGGTTTGGGTTTGCAAGGGTGAAGGTGGTAGGGCCCGGCACTTGGGGAGAGGTGATTCATCATTTGAGGTGTCTTCCACAATGGGAGGGAGTAGGGGCATACAAGGCTGGGAAAAAGAATGGGGACAAGCTGCCAAAGAGGAAGTGGAAGTCCCAGGGGTACCATGGTTCTTGGAAAGTAGCTGTTGGTGAGGAATAATAATGGAATGTTGGGAAGGGAGCTTACTGCACGGAGGGGGCTTTGGAGACACAGCGAGGCCGGGTTTAGGACGTTTCCTGGTGACCATTTTCCATTCTTGAATCTGTGGAATTGAACTCCCCGCTCCTCGATGGCCCACCACCACCACCGGACCTTTCCTCCGGCAATGGGAAAGGAGATGACCAAATCTATTACACTAGGAGCAGTAGGGGGTGTTCTTCATGCGTGCAAGGGAGCCACAAATCTTTAGAGCCAAGTCTGACATGGATCTTAGGGGGTTTGGAAAGTGAGACATCCATCTCCACACAAACCTTGGTTGTGCCTGGGTAAATACCCATGGCAGTTTTAGCTCCCAACTTAATTGGTTTACCTAGGGCTGAGGCTATAGAGAAGAGAGGTTTGTGATCTGAAAGATGTAAAGGAATATTTCTAACCTCTACCCATAATGGGATAACTGGACAGTTCGAGCTATGAGAGTGATTGGGAGTCCATTTGCATAGCGTGATAGTTGATGATTTTATCTTCCAGCTTCTCCTGTGAAACCAACGAAGATAGTCTTCTTCCCTCTTGAAGATGAAGAGTATCTCTTGAGTTTTCAGCCTCCTATATATATATATATATATATATATATATATATATATATATATATATATATATATATATATATATATATATATATATATATATATATATATATAAAAGATGGAGCGTCTGGTTTTGCTTAGTGAGAGAGAGACGGCAGTTGGTAAATTCTACGCCCAAACTCTGATCAATTACCCGGCGATACACTCCTCTTCCCTCCTAAATCGCCAGAATCAGACATATCCTGGAGCTCCGTTGCGCAGAGTGCAGGATTTCCGATCTAATGCTACACTCGTTGGTGCAAAATCATATGTTGACACTCTTAAGGGTTTCTCGGCGGTCGCGCATCCACCGTCTTCTTCGAAGGAGACGATACCATCTATCCAAGAGACGGTCACTCAGGAGGCCCTCAACCCAAAAGCACCAACAGAGAACAATGGTAACTCCTTTCTTCCCCCTCCTGTCAAAGACATCATCCCTATGGTTTTTAGCATCTTTGAGAAGGAGTTCACTCTGTCTACATCTATTTATAATAAAAAGATATGTATCTCTGAGTTTTTCAAACGAAGGAAGCACCCAATTTGGCTTGGTTTGGATGCTGGATACCGGCTTCTCAATACGTTATCTAAATTCACCATGGATGGTTCCATAGATTGTCCAGACAAGACAGAACCTAAGAGATCCCCCTTTCTTAGATTTAGACCTAGCCCTAAAGGATCTTTTCTTCAACTCATAGAAAGAAGACAAGATGGAAGGAGTATGATATTCATCCAAGAAGGCCATCAAGGTAATGGCTTTACAACCTTTAAAGCTAGATTGGAGCTAGTCCTTAAACACCTATCTAGGGCTATTCCCCCTCCTGAACCTCTCATAGACAGAGCTTTAGTTTGCGGATTTTCAATTCCCACTCCCACTGATACATCCATGTACATTTCCTCCACTCTATTCAAGTTGGAAGTCTGCTCTGTCATGGAACTAACAATAAACCCCCTAGCAGTTCCCAATCCCCCCTCTGCAGTCTGTCAAACCTCAACTCCTGCACTGAAATGCTCCCTCCTCTCTGCAAAAGCCAAAGATTTTGTCCCTAAAACAACCCAACATCCGGTTTCCACTTTAAGTCTAGCACCTCCTCAAACGGCTCTCACTTTCTTGGGTTGTTCAACATTGTATACTGAAAGAGATAACTCTTGGAACATCTCTAAAGCCTATGGATCTGATTTTGAGCAGCAACATTGTTCACAGAAAGGACACCTTCCATTAGATGACACCTCTGAATGGGAAACTAATTTGGAATCAGATGAAGAGGAGAGTAAAGGGGATTGGCATGCAACGAAAGAGTCTGTCAAGAAAAGAAAACAAGCAAGGTTTGAAAAGCTCATAAGCCACATTCAAGGAGGGGTCATAAATAAATCAAGAAGAAGTAAGAGACTTGCTCAACTAAGGAACCAACTCATTGATGAAAGAAACCTAGAGTCATTCAACTTGGGGTAATTGGCTACCATAAGACCAATTTAGTGAATCATGCTCTTCTCCATCAATTTTAACTCTGTTTTTATTTTAGTGTCTCAATCTGCAATTCTTAAATTTTTGGTTCGATTTAATGGCTCTTTTTCCCTCGTGGTTAAGTTGTAATCCTGTTCTAAAAACCTCCTGTTTTGGAAAGCCATATTCATCAGCCTCTAGCTATGTCTTTGAAAGGGAGTCACCATTCAATTACTTGGACAGAAACTGTTACAGCCTTGAAACCTTTGTCTGCACCTTTTGTTTAGATATGCAGCGGGCAAGTAGTGATCGAGAAAGCATAATTGTGGGGTCTCAACTAAAGCATTGATTGGAGGGGTCTATGTACGAAACTTGATTTGGACTTATAAAGCCAAGGAGAGTGTTTCTGCATTACATGGCCAGCAGGATAGCCACGAGGATTAAACTTGGAAGTTTTCTTCTTATGGGTCCTTTGTCCCAGCATTAGAACTTTTCACCTTTAGGCATTTAGCTGGTTGTTTATACTCCTGCACTTCTGTTGTTTTTTGGCACTTCTTTTTGGGCCTTGCCATCCCACCCCTTGTACCTTTTACTTTTCCTTAATAAAATTTCTCTTTAATAATATATATATATATATATATATATATATATATATATATATACACACACCAAAACTTCCCATTTGGGTTACCATCAAGAAGATACCAATACATCTTCAAGATCCTAGGGCCCTTCTTTCCATCTCACAACTGATCGGAAACCCTATCAAGATGGATGCCCGAACTTATCAAGCTGAATATCTCAATACTGCCAGGGTCCTTATTGAGATTGATTTATCCTCCCAGCTCCCTAAAAATATAAAGATTAGAACAGGTGAATTCCTTCACTCCCTCCCGGTCTCCTTTCATAATGTCCCTATTTACTGTAACAAATGCAGTAGGTTCGGTCATTGTTGTTCCACTACATCTTCCACCTTCCCTGCCGGAAAACTCCCCACCGGTGGGAAGAATATTGGGGGTATGGAGACAAGAAACAAATGGACAGTGGTCAGCCATAAGAGGAAGGTACCAAAGACCAATGTCCAATTTTCAAAGCAAAATGGCCCTACTCTTGCAATAACACATGAAAAGCCATCTACGTCAGCCCAAGGCACTCTTACTCATGTGCCAGTTCAGCATCCTCACAGCAGCACATTGGGCCATAAAGAAAGATCCAATCACTTTAGTCCAATTAGGGAGAGCCCACACCAAGAACCAAGCCTCCCTGGCAGTAATATAGTCACTTCTTCATAAGTGGAAGCAAAATCAAGACATAACCTCTTAAAAGGAAGCAAGGATGACACCCAGGTACTAAAACAATTTCGGGCCACTGATGATTTTCTTCAAAATGTTTTGGGCCATAAGCAACCAAACCTTGAAGATATCACAGATACTTGCACTCATTCTGAAAATGATGGACAGGAGATTTTGGACACCTCCCCTTTGGTACCTATTCTCTTGGCTACTCCTAAGCACACAAGCAATGCACATATCATCTCTAGAGGAGGAAGTGCTAAAGCTAATGTCATTCCACTCTCATGCCAGACTAGGGGCATGAAAGCAGCTCTAGATCCCCTTAACATGGGTGATCCATGAACCTATTATTCTGGAACATCAGGGGAGTTCGAAGCTCATTACCCAGGCTTCACTCTCTCACTCGATCTCACCGGGTTAATTTCCTTGC